GAGAGAGAGAGAGAGAGACGGGTGCAGCGTTGCCACCACCAGGACGGGATTAAAAAAAAAAAATACCCACAGCGAGCAACATCACCTGCGGAGACAGACGCTGGATTCCCCCGGGGCTTTGGAAACACACACATCTTCCACGTTGCTGTGTCTGTTTTTGTTGTGTTTGTTGTTTTGGTCAGGAAGGAAACCCTCAAGTGTCTCTCGGTTGTGTATTGTGACAGAAAAAAAAAGAGGGCGCCCAAATCTGTCCCCCTTTTAGGACGGGACCTTTTTGAATCTCCGAGCACCAACAATGGACTGCGTTTCCACCGGGAACTCACTCCTGGAGCCGTGCGGCACTCACACATGGGACCGTAGCGTTTCAAACCCAGGCGACATCTGTCTGTGTAGTTGTTAAACAGTGTTTACCGTGGTGCTGGTGGGGGTCGGGGTCGTCGGTTGGTGCCCGCCATGCCCGGGAGGAACAGGTACAACCTGGTGGACGATCTGGCGGACTCGAGGGTGCCGCTCCACAACGAAGAGGCGTACCAGCATGGGATTCATTTCCAAGCCAAGGTGAAATGAGCGTTATATTGATCTGTGCATGTGTTCGGGCACTTTGGGGCACACGGTCTGTTTTCAGTCAGAGTTGCATTGTGTTGTTTTGCAGCAGGTGCACTGAGCCCTTTTTCAGCTGGGAAGTTAGGACGCATGGCCGTGGAAGCGACCCCCCCCCACACACACACACACATGTGGTTTAAGGCTTGCATGTCTGATGGAAAACCTGCACCTTCTTTGCTTTAAACTTTTCATTTTGCATCACCTTACAAAAGTGGGTTGATGTCCTTATATCTGATGCTCCAAAGTGACCTTAACTGAGTGTATTTTCAGGTTTTTCCCCCCCCAAGTCATTGAATTATTAAATTCTCAGGAAAGCTGCTAGACTGTATGTTTTTAGTGGCTCTGTTCACACACACCAATCTGTAACTTAATCTTGAGCTGCATTGTTTCACATCCACTGGCCTATAATAGCTCTCAATTCATGTTATGGGTTGAGCAGGAAACACACAGCACGGTGGGGGACAAAGGGTTAAAACTAAGGGAGTGTTACTGGTCCAAAGTTCAATCACAAGGCTGCTTGTATCTTATATGTGATTAGGACAGCATTCTCATCTCAGTTTGTCTTTGTGTCCTAATATGTCTTTATCCCACTGAGTGTCGTGAACACAGTCACATACACTGAATATATAAGGATCTGATGGCAGGTAGGACACAGAAAAATGCACACATCACACACATCAATCCTTGTAAATCAGCATATACTTTACATATTATGCAATAAAATAAATATAAATGTATAAATACACCATGATGTGCGGAATGAATACAGGTAAATAAGCTTAAAGCCGACAAATACAAATTATTAATTAAACTACAAACTCATTTTACGCCCTCAGACCATTTGCAGTGTTCAGAATAATAGTAACAACAGCAGCAACATGGTCCTTAAAGCCCCTTAGTTACACAGCCACAATTCTTTTGTTAGCTAGTCTTTTATAAAACACATTCAAATCATTTTGTCCTAAATAGAGAAGCACTAGTTGCCCCAATTTTAATAAAAATATTTGGTTTACCTTGTATGAGTTAATCTCTCTAATAGAAAGACATTAAAAGCATTTTTAAGCAGAGGTTAGGTAGTTCAGTTCTTTCTATAGGGCTTGGATCACCACATATAGTGGACAATGAGTAGGCAGTTTTTGCCTTTATAACAGTCTAAAACAAAATCTTATAAATGAGCTTGGACCTCACTTTGGGAGCTGATGGAGTTGAACAAGCTGCACACTCAGCGGCTGTGATCAGTCACAGCACTTTGTGGGAATAGCTATTGATATAACATATACTATGATTGAGTTTGTTACGTATGATTATGGCAGATTAATTGTGCAGCTGTGGTGTGTGGGCTAATATCTATGACTCTTGCTTGTTAACTACAGTATGTGGGGAGTCTTGACGTGCCCAGGCCCAACAGTCGGATGGAGATTGTGGCAGCCATGAGGAGAATCAGGGTAAGATGAAATCATTATGTCATGAGTGTTTAAGACCAGAAGCGTACACACACACACACACACACACACACACACTTTGTCAGGGCTGTGGTGATTGTTCTGTGATGGAGTACAGTAAGTATCTATACAATAACACAGTAATCACACACACAATACAAAGAGTGTGCGGCTGTCAGATGATATTTGTTTTATGTTAGGATGGAGTGACGCACGCACTGGCTCGACAGCAGAACAAGTCTTCTTGGAAAAAGCAATGCAGGGGTGAATTTTGTAGAAAGAAAAAGCAATAAGAGAGAGGTGGGTTGTGTGGCTCTCTTTGCTGAATAGTACATTGTCCTTTCTAGGTATGTTTGAGAGAGTTGAAGGACAGTGTGTGTGTGTGTGTGTGTGTGTGTGCACACGTTATCATCAGACTGTGGCTTATTGCGCTGTGTTGAGCTGAATTTTACAATTCAACCTTTTTGGAGTTTAATTTGTTTTATCTCTGTCGCCCTGTATACTCTTTTGTACACTCTTTTCCTCGTTGTTATTCACACTATAATATCATAGTCAGGCTTGGTGGGTTTTTTTTTCTCCATAAAGCTATATCAGTAGTGTTACTATGGGGATCATGTAATCATTTTTCCCTCTCATTGTCCCAGTAGGCCAGCATTTTTCTCCAGAAGCTAACACAGAGCCATATCAGACTGCCGGGGTGGTTCTGTAATTTAAGTGTGAGTCACTGGACGAGTTTGGTTCAGACACGACAAGGCTCTTAAGCCTAGCCGGGTACTAAAAAGCCATAATGTGCACGTATCCTCCGAACAATGCATGAGTTTTGAGGCACAATATGCAAACTTTTTTTTCACCGTTTTAGGGGGAATCCAAGCCCCTCTTTGTTTTGGCTCCTGTCTTAAAGAGTGTTTGTAGGTGGCTGCTGTGTTGCTTCAAGTGTGAAACTTAGTCTGTATCAAATTAGAGGAACCCCCGCTGATCAAAAGAGATATTTTTGGCAAACTGAACCCATCTACAAAAGTAGGCTTATCGAACAGAGACAAAGGCAGACAGTTTATGAGTCTGTGTGTGAATGGGCTGAGTGTGCATATAGCGGCTGTTATTTCCTTGTGATTCCTAAATGGACCAATCAATAAGATTGTAAAGCCAACATGATCATCGAGGTGATCCACTGCAGGCTGAGGCAGAGCATGAAACAGCAGGTACAGGCAGGCAGGGACGATGCTTTTTATTGCTACAAGAAACAAAAAATCTCTCTGATAGAAAAACATAAATCAAGTGGTTTTTACATCAAATTGAGATCCGTTTACCAGCATGTATTTATATGATGTTCTTATTTAAAAATACACACAGTGCGTCATTATTGCCTATTTATGTCTGCGTGTGTGTTCACATGTGGGGTTTGTGTGTCTCTTTATATTTAGTTCCCTTGAGGTCCAAAGAAAGCCTTGAATGAATAATGAATGAGTTAGTGTATTTTAGTTGTAACCCTCAGCCTATTGTATAGAATATCTTTGTTTTTAAAGGCCTAATGAATCAAGCAGAACCCTGCTTTTATAGAGTCCCCTGCGACGAATGTAAACAGGAAAGTGTCTGATAGGAAGGACCAATCTATATAAAAAAAGAACTTCTTATTTATTCATTTGTCATGTGTGTTTCATGTAATCACTGCTGACAGTGACTAGAGAGATGTTACTATTTATAGACTTGTGTTATTACGCTGACCGGTGGATGAATCTGGTTTGTACTGTGTCATGTCATCTTTGCTGTTGAAGCTTTAAAGTGAAACTACATCATTTTTATTGAACGGCGGCCAAAAGTGGGAATCGCAAGATAATGGAAAAAGGAATTTCCCTTCGTTTTCATTTTCATTTTCTTGAGTCAGCTGGACTAAAGTCATAAATAGTACGTCCTGGTGGCCCAGGGGTTTAAAGAGATGTATTTTGCTTTAAAGGAATAGTTCACCTTTCAGTTCTAGTTTACCTTTTTATTTTTTTACCTCTGATTTTAAACAAAATGACTGACGCTGAACAAGCAAAGTCAAAAGTAGATAGTTAAAACAAGTATCACAGTTCATTTTTCATCTCACTACTTTGAATCACATGACATTTTTATTGTCTCCCGATAAATTGTTACATCACATCACACATCATCTTACTGCAGCGGCCCGGGTTCGATTCCAGCCCACGGTCCTTTGCTACATGTTGTCCTTCAAGTGGGAAAAAGCAAAAAAAAAAAACTCTGTGACATGCTAATGTAGTAAAACAGTGACAAAAGTCATAAAATAAGTGACCTGTCTCACTAATGCAGTGGTTCTCAAACCTTTTCTGGCATGCCTTTCTTCAGAAACCACGCAAATATTAGCACAGTATCATCAGCAAACTCTTGAGGCTCACCCAGAGCCAGTGCAGTAATGTCACTTAAACAGCAACAATATCTACTTAAAGTTTGCTTACTAAAGCTTGCGCACACTAGCCATTACAAGCTACTGGTCATAATAAACCAAGTGAGACTGTAGCAGCAAGACTTCAAGTGTATTCAATTGACCAAGGGTGTATTTTACTGCTTATGATTTCCACTTCATTTGTAAGAGGAAGATTGTGTTTTTCAGAATTTAACCCAATGGTCTGGTAGTGGAGTGGTTCGGGTTGGTATGTCTTATGCAAATGTTAGTAGACCTGCTGTTTGTGCTGCCTCAGTTTCAAACACATGGGAAAGTAAAGATTGCATTTTTGTGCCAAGCATTTCTTTTTCGGGTGAACCCTCTCACACTGTGCCTACACTGCATGAATGCAAACACATGAGCATTTTAGAGGGCAGGCGTGTGCGTTTAGGGTTGGTTGCCAAGTCAAATGTAATTAGCTTTGTGTAGATGAACATTGACTGGCCTTCCTGACTTTCTCCTCATCTCTCTTCACAAAAGCAAAGGCCTCGTCTTTAATTTAAAAGCACAACCCTTTAGCCGAGGGACTGTGCAGAGACTCTACGGAGTTGAGTGTGATTAAAGAGAGTGAGGAATGAACTGATGGCAGTGGGAGGAAGACTTGGAAGCTGGAGGGGCTGCATGGTGGCTGGCAGAGCCGTAGTCGTTTCATCTCCCTCGGCTAATCTCTTTAGTCTCAGTCGATGTGAGGGAACAGGAGCAAATATGAGAAGAGAGACAGAAAGCAACACAGGCTGATCATCTCGGAACAAACAGGGAATCTGGGTTTGACAAAGCAGAGGAGCTGCACTGGTTGAGTCAAGTCCGCAGCCGTTTTACACCTGCCATTCCCACAGCGACACAATTTTGGATCCTGTGGATCTTTTCAGCGATGTGTTTTGGTAAACCTTCTCCCATTATGGCTGACTGGTCCTAGTGTGTTGGTTTTATAAGAATTTGTTTCATTCAGTTTGACCGGTGGCATAGAAACCCCCCAAGTGGTGTGCTAGTGTCTTCACACACGTTTTTATGTAAGAATGTGTGTGTGTGTGTGTGTGTGTGTGTGTGTGTGTGAGGGAGCTCCAGTGCTCCATAAGAGATAGCCCCCTCGCATTCTAACAACCTCCGCAATTGATTAACGAGTAATGACAAAGGCTGGCGTTGCTGCATCCCACATGGAGAGATGTGGTGTAGTCGTCCACAGCTCGCTGCCTCAGAAAAGGACGTGTGGTGTGTGTGGAATTTCCCTGGGAAACAAACAGGCACTATTTACAGGAGGCCACTGTCTCTCTACAAAAGGAAACAACTTTAAGGCTATTCTCTCTTCAGTCATTCCCCTTTCTCTTACTCCCTTATTTCCAACCCCCCTCCCTCCACTGCTGTTTTCTTTTCATCCCCTCACTCCCCTTTCATACTCCTACCAAAATAGACTGTCTCAATTTAGCCCATCTCTCCCATCTACTCAGTGCTGACAGGAATAGATTTTAGGTTGAGGGCAGGCTATGCATGCTTCCCTTTGAATTTTGATCGGCCGTAATGGGATTTTAAGCCCCCCCCTTCACATGTCCGTCAGGATGCAGCCTCCTTCCTCAGACTGCCAAGAGTCTTGCTGGAAATTACATGGCTCCCTTCTTTCTGCATTTGTCCCTGTGTCTGTCTGGAGCATCTTATGAGAAGATCCGTCTGCCGTGCGAGAAAGAAGGAAACCATGTTATTTGGTTTCTCCATTTCAGTATGAGTCCGTCAAGTCTGTGTCAGTCTTTTGAGAGCATGCTGAGCTGTCATGACTCTGACTGTCAAGAGGGATGTAGGGGGAAAACAGGCACTCCGGACCTGTCAGAGACAGAACAGAAAAGTACTACCTTAGTTTCACTTTGTGTCCTTTTGTGCCTCTATGCTTAAGACTTTACTCAATCTGTGGACAGAAAAACTGTTTGAGATTTTGAGAAGCAATGACAGTTGCATAATGGTAAACAAGTAATAATTGGGAGAGAAATATTTGTATGAAATCTTCCAGTTGCCAATTTTGTCAACAAAAATCTCTTACAACTGCCGAATCAAAGCACACATGTTCCTTATTAACCATTTTGTGTCTCTTCTCTATGCTCTTCCACCTGTCATTCAACTCAAACAACACTGTGGCAGCAGTCAACTTATTTGGCAGCTGCCAATATAAATAACGTCCACCAGAGAAACATAGAAATGTCCATATTTCACTTCCTCTTGCTATCCTTTCTCTGTTTCTCTCTATCTTTCACTTCATTCTTAATGGTCACAGTCTGGCAGCTAGCCATAACAAATGCTTACCCATGCCTGAAGGCTGCAGAAGACAACAACCCACACAGATTTGTGATAACATCACATATGACTATGCATGAGTATGAAATGCACAAATGTGGCTTTTTATTCTAAACCCAGAGTAGAGCCAAAGTTAGACTGAACACAGATGACAGTCAAACCACATGAACATGAGGAAAACTAAACAGGAGTCAGGACCCAATAAACAATTCTTAATTATCAGTGAATCACATTTTTGCATAACAATTACACACGCTGCATGTCCCAGAAAACCAGGAGAGAAATG